TCCAGAGAACATCCTAAGGTTTTTTTTTTTTTTTGCGGTACGCGGGCCTCTCACTGTTGTGGCCTCTCCCGTTGCGGAGCACAGGCTCCGGATACACAGGCTCAGCGGCCATGGCTCACGGGCCCAGCCGCTCCACGGCATGCAGGATCCTCCCAGACCGGGGCACGAACCTGTGTCCCCTGCATCGGCAGGCGGACTCTCAACCACTGCGCCACCAGGGAAGCCCCCATCCTAAGGTTTTTAAACAGGAGTATGATTTTTTTGGTTTTGGTGATATTCATGAAATGTCTAAAGAAACAATGACAACTTTTGATAATATCAAAGTTTGGCCCTGCTGTCATCCTGAGAGTTAGGGGTGTGCCCCAAACATCCCTGGCTCTTTCTCCCCGGTATTAGGCCACTTTATCTTGACGGTGATTAGTTAATCTGATCTCATAGAGTAGAAATGTGCAGACCTAGGAGGCCTGCCAAAGCTGGCCCCCCTGCCGGCCCCTCCCTCACACTCTCAGCGATCAGCAGCGCTCAGGGTGCGGGGCTCGGGGGTGAAACGGCCTTTGCACCCCAGGCTTCCTCCTCGGCATCCTCCCTAGTGGACAGGAGGAAAATGAGGGTATGAGCCCGTGGCGCTCGGGAAGGACCGTGGGCGTGAAGCTGCCTTCAGTCGGGGGCACTCTGGCCCCTCAACGGTTAAATGGAATTCCGAGATCTTGGGGTGGGAGGGCAGTGGAAGAAAAAGAGAAATAGGAGAGAGGGAATTGTGTTGGCGATGGCTTGGGATTTATTTATTGTGCTCGCTGTTGATTAAGCCCGCTCACTCCGCAGCAGGAGCAGAGCTGGTAAATACACAGGCTGATTCATTAGTTTCTGACCATCTGCTTCCCGGGCTGAGGCCGGGGCGGGGGCGGGGGGGGCAGTGAGCCCTGCAGGCTAGGGCAGCCAGGTTGGAGCCCCCCGTCCCTCTGCAGAGCTGGCTGTGTCAGTCTTCCTGATGACAGACAGGCCGGGCGCAGGGGTGGGGGGGGGCGTGAGGGATCCAATATCCCGCCATGGGGACCACAGGAGGCTGGGCAGGTGAGGGAACGTAGGCAGGGGGATGGAGAAGGACCAGAGGAGGGACTTCCCTGGAGGTCCAGTGGTTAGGACTCCACACTCTCACTGCGGAGGGCCCAGGTTCAATCCCTGGTCGGGGAACTAGGGTCCCACAAGCCACGCAGTGTGGCCAAAAAAAAAAAAAGGACCAGGGGAGAGGTGAGGTGTTTCACAGCAGCTGGGGGTTGACAGGAATAATATCAACATTCCATATGAGGTCTATGACTATTAATCTAATTATCATTCTATTAATAACTAATTAATAAGATGACCAAATAACTGTAACTTAGTGACTGGTCACTGAGGTCCAAGCCCTATAGGGAGGCTTCACTACACTGTCCCAGATAAGCACACTAACAATCCTGTGATGAATGACGAGGGAACTGGGTTCAAAAGTGAATCAGGCAAGGAGGGCTTCCTGGAGGAAGTACATAGGGAAAGCTCTAAAAACCCAGAGGAGGGAAAGCAGCTGCAGGGGCACAAGCTCAGAGGTGAGAGGGGATGAGACAGCCGGGGAAAAGGCCCAGCTTCAGTGCTGGGTGGATAGCTTTCCAGGTGGGCAGAGTAGCATGATGCCACCTGGTACCAGCGTATTGAGAAGCGGGCCGGTAGAGGAGGGCCCCAGAGAGAGCGTCTGGCCGTTCCTCCCACCCTGACCCACGCTTTGCTCACTTGGGGTGAGGCATGTATTAGTTTGCTAGGGCCTGCGTGGCTTAAACCACAGAAATTTATTTTCTCAGGTTCTGGAGGCTGGAAGTCCAAGGTCAAGGTCTGACCCTTGAAAACCAAGGCAGGCTAGTTTCTTCTGAGGCTTCTCTCCATGACTTGCCCATGGGCCCCTGTTGCTGCTTCTTCACATGGTCATTCTGTGTGCACGTGCCCCAGGGGTCTGTGTATCCAAATTTTCCCTTCTTGTAAGGACCCCAGTCAGATTGGATTAGGACCCACCCTAAGGGCCTCATTTTAACGTAATCACCTTTAAAGGCCCTATTTCCAAATACAGTCACATTCAGAAGTACTGGGGGTTCAGGCTTCAACATATGAATTTGGGGGGTGGGGGCGCACAGTATACTCCATAACAAGTTGCCAGGGGCAGTAGAAGAAGGGAAGCTGTGGGAAGAGGATGATTGCTGGGTCGGGGGAGGGGAGGATGCCCACTTGGGTGCAAACTGTGTCTTCCGGTCCCCAGTGTCCAGGTGTGAGCTCTGAGCCAGCTGAGGGCCTGGGGAACAGGCTGTCCCCCACAGGCAGGCCTGCCCCCCTTTCATCACCAGGCCTGGACTCTACAAGCCACTGAGCCATCCCCATGGGGCCTTTCAGCCTCTCCCCGTTCCGGGCGACGTCACAAGAGCACCAGCTGGAGTGCGGGGAAGCTTGGACCCCCACGGGCCGAGCCAGGCCCCTCTCCCTGCCATGTTGTGCGTGAGGTCCCTAGAGTTCCAGAACACCTCTGAGGTCGTCCAGGACACAAGCAGGCTCGTCCTCAAACCCCTCCCACCCTCAGGGAGTCCTGGGCCAGTCCTGCCCCACCCTGGGCCTCGGTTTCCCCATTTGCTCAGTGAGGGGGGTGGACTCAATGCTGTACCCCTTCCACCCCAAGTTTTCCGGGTCCTGGGAATCAGCAGGTCTGGCCAGGTGGGGTGGATAGTCGTACCACAGGGGACCCAGGACAGAGCTATTTTGGTGGGACCTGCCTCAGTAAACCCCAGAGCCAAGCTGCCCGCTGAGGATCCCTGGGTGGCCTAGGAGCTGGTCCTCCACTAACAGGCTTCAAAGGTGATGGCCCAGGGTCGCTGCGGTGATGCCGGCTCGGCCCCTCGGGAGACAAGGCGCCCACGGCCACTGGGAGCCGAATGCCTCCTTTTAGAATGTGACGCTTTAACTCAGATCGAAGCCGCTTTTGTCTGAGCAAACCAGGGTCCTGAAATATTCATCAAAGGAGCTGCAATTGGTCCGGGCGCGTGCGGTTCTCAGTGACGGTGTTTCCTATTAATTAATAGCCTTTATTTTTTAGAGCAGTCTTAGGTTTACCGAAAATGGAGCAGACAGTCCAGAGAGCCCCTAAGACCCGTTCCCCACACAGCTGCCCCATTATCCACAGCTTGCATTAGCGTGCTACCTTTGTTACATGGATGTGTCGTTATTACCGCAAGCCCACGTTGACAGTAGGGCTCCCTCCTGGCGTTGCACAAATGTACCATGTCATTTATCCAGCATGACAGTGTCATACAAGATGGCTTCACTGCCCTAAAAATTCCCTGGGCTCCCCACTATTCATCCCTCCAACCCCCGGCAACCACCACGTTAGTGATATTTTCAGGCCTCTGGGTGAGTTCACACGGCAGACCAGACCCGGGGGATGGATTTGAACTGTGGAGGAGAGAAGCCCCAGCTGGAGCCCGCTGGGCCAGGGAGTGGGCTGCCCAGCTTTTGGAGGCAGGGGTGAGGGGAGAGGAAGCATGTGGGGGCCGTGCCCTGCCTTACCCAGCCAGTGTCCCCCACTGGGCCAGCCAGGCACGTGCCGAGGAAAGGACTGCCACAGGACGCACCCCCTTGAGAGGAACCCGGGCTGTGCGTGAGGCAGACACGCATGCTGTGGGGACAGAGAGCAGGCCCCAGTGACAGACAGGCCATAGTGCGGCCCCCAGCTCTTCCTAGCAGGGCCTCGGGCAAGGGCCACCACCTTCCAAAGCCCGGGTTGCTTCATCCCGAGCATGGAGTTGACACTCCCACACTGTGAGCATTGGTGGTTAGCTAGTTACTGAACAGGAGAGAAATGAGATAATGTGCTGGGCACCAGGTGGACTTCTTCCACTGCCCCTCCTGTTGCTACTAATTGTATTGTCTGAAGGGTCGAGAAGGCGTCTCTGTGTAGGAGATGTTTCAAGAGTCAAATGTCCATCCACAGATGAATGGATAAAGAAGATGTGGCACATATATACAATGGAACATTACTCAGCCATAAAAAGAAACAAAATAGAGCTATCTGTAGTGAGGTGGATGGACCTAGAGACTGTCATACAGAGTGAAGTAAGTCAGAAAGAGAGAAACAAATACCGTATGCTAACACATATGTATGGAATCTAAAAAAAATGGTGCTGAAGAACCTAGGGGAAGGGCAGGAATGAAGAGGCAGACGTAGAGAATAGACTTGAGGGCACGGGGAGGGGGAAGGGTAAGCTGGGACGAAGTGAGAGAGTGGCATGGACATATATACACTACCAAATGTAAAACAGCTAGTGGGAAGCAGCCGCATAGCACAGGGAGGTCAGCTCGGCGCTTTGCAATGACCTAGAGAGGTGGGATAGGGAGGGTGGGAGGGAGGTTCAAGACAGAGGGGATATGGGGACATGTGTATGCATATGGCTGATTGACTTGGTTATACAGCAGAAACTAACACACCATTGTAAAGCCATTATACTCCAATAAAGATGACAAAAAAAGTGTGAGTAGGAATTTGGAGGCAGACAGAGAGTGGAAGGGCATGTCAAGGAGAGGGGATGCCATCTGCAAAGGCTCAGAGGCACAGACAAGGGAGGCTTGGAGGACAGGAGTGCTCAGGTGGGAGGCCAGGAACAGTGGCTCCAGATATGGTGGGAGGAGGTCAGAGTCAATGAGGTAAAGCGGTAGGGCTTTATCCTCCGGGCAGTGGGGAGCCATGGAGGGTCTCAGAGCAGTGACTAGCTCCCGCCCCTCTTGATTGTCTGAGCTTAGAGTAGGAACGAATGTTTTCTTGGGAGGCAATAGAGCTGCATGTCTTTATGGGCTTTGGAAGAGAGAGGCTTCCTGGTGCCCGGACGTCGGAGCACAGGCTCTGAGACCTCTGGGCAGACACCGGGGCTGGGCTGGGACGAGGCTCCTGGGCCCCCCAGAACAGTCATCATCCACCCTGGTCTTCTCCCCACCCGCAGGAGAACCCCTACCTGTGCAGCAACGAGTGTGACGCCTCCAATCCGGACCTGGCTCACCCGCCCCGGCTCATGTTGGACAGGGAGGATGAGGGCCTGGCCACCTACTGGCAGAGCGTCCCCTGGAGCCGCTACCCCAGCCCGCTGGAGGCCAACATCACCCTGTCGTGGAACAAGAGCCTGGAGCTGACGGACGACGTGGTGGTGACGTTCGAGTACGGCCGGCCCACCGCCATGGTCCTGGAGAAGTCGCTGGACAACGGGCGCACGTGGCAGCCCTACCAGTTCTACGCAGAGGACTGCATGGAGGCCTTCGGCATGCCCGCCCGCCGCGCCCGCGACCTGTCGGCGTCGGGTGCCCACCGGGTGCTGTGCACGGAGGAGTACTCGCGCTGGGCCGGCTCCAAGAAGGAGAAGCACGTGCGCTTCGAGGTGCGCGACCGCTTCGCCATCTTCGCCGGCCCCAACCTGCGTAACATGGACAACTTGTACACGCGGCTGGAGAGCGCCAAGGGCCTCAAGGAATTCTTCACCCTCACCGACCTGCGCATGCGGCTGCTGCGCCCGGCGCTGGGCGGCACGTATGTGCAGCGCGAGAACCTCTACAAGTACTTCTACGCCATCTCCAACATCGAGGTCATGGGCAGGTAAGGCCCGGGGGTGACCTGGTACCCAGGATGTTACCTGCTTGCCAGGATATTACCAGATACCTGGAATGTTACCTGAGGCCTAGGATGTTACGTGATACCTGGGACATTACCTGGTGTTACATCAAAGGGGCTACCTGCGATTTTCCATGGAGGGAGGTGAATGCTGGATGATGAATGTCCTCCGTAGGGCCCAGGCTACCTCTAGCCACAGGGCTGGGAGGTCTGGAGAGGATGGGTGGAGCTGAGCAGACCTGGGCAGTGTGGGTGGGGTTTGAGCTAAAGCCTGGTGCTCGGGAGGTACAACGTAACTGGCCACGGACTCAATGAACGGGCACTTGTGTCTGGGGGGTGCCCGAGACCGCCTTCAGGCTCCAGGATTTGCTAGAAGGACTCACAGAGCCTAGCAAAGCTGTTAGACCCACAGTTGCTGTTGTTACAATGAAAGGATACAGATTACAGTCAGCAACAGAGAAAGGTTCAGAGGGCAGGCTCTGGGAGAGAGCAGGGCGAGCTTCCGGTCATCCTCTCCCCGTGCAGCAACGGTGACAGCGCGTGCGGAGTAGCGCCAGCCAGGGGAGCTTGCCCGAGCCTGGGTATCCAGGGGTTTTGTTGGGAATTGGTTATGTAGGCGTGGCTGACTGCCCACGTGGTTGACCTTGGGCCCCAATTCCTTGACCCACAGGTCATGCTGATACTGCATGGCCCCAGGCCGCCATCATAAATCACATCATTAGTGTCAATTATCTGGAGTGGCCCCAGGCCTCAGATAAACAAAGACTCTTATTAGGCAGGACATTCCAAGGCTCATAAACTCCTCCCAGGAGCTAGTTAAGGGCCAGACTTTTCTTTGGACTCTGTAGCCTGTGGACAACCCAACCCTGCCGAGTTAGTCCTTTACTCACAGCTTTGGAGAAGAAGATGTTTTGTGGACACTTTGGGGGGAGGCAAAGGACCATCACAGGAGGTAAAAACAGCCTTTGATTCCCAGGAACTCTGTAGATTGCAGATGATAAAATGGTCGCACGCTGTCCCAGATCATCTGTTCATTCGACAGATGACCTGCTGGTCAGTGGGGGCAAGGCGTTTATCCCAAGCCATGGATATAACACCCTGGTCTGCACTCAAGAGCGAGGCTTTGGGGTGGGGGGGCATCGCGGGTAACCAAGGGGTCAATCATAAGGGGCAGCAGCATGTAACACAGGAGCTCTCTAAGTGTGGTTCCTGGACCAGCAGCATTACCGTCACTTGGAAACTCGTTAGAAATGCAAATTCTCGGGCCCCGTGCCAGGCCTGCTGTACCGTAAATCCCAGGGGTGAGGCCCAGCAGTCTGTGTTTTAATAAGCTCTCTGGAGGATTCGGATACACGCACGTTCGAGAACCGCTGCTGTGACAGTCGGAGTAGGCATTCTGGAGCCAGATGGCCTGGGGTGAATTCACGGCTCTGCCATCGACGGGGCTGTGAGCCTCCGGACGAGGACCTCTCCGCGCCTCAGTTTCCCCATCCGTAGAACAGGGATGATAACGAACATGCTTGTCTCATTGCATCGTGGTAAGCTAATTGAGTTAGAGTTCGAGTTGATGAGATACTCAGAACTACTGTGAGCTTGTGTTTATTACATCGCAGTTTAAACGACTGTGGGTTAGCACGTCACACATGCTAAAAAAGTGTTTATTGAATAAAATACATAGTGTTCAAAATAATGGCGTCCGAGAGCTGGGGCAGGTTGAGGAAGGACCAAGTTGAGACCCAAGGGTGTTGGGGCATAATTAGGGCCAGGAGCATGGCTTAGGCCAGTTTGGGCAGGGGCTGACCCAGAACCCAGCTGGGACAACATACCTTGGGCAGCTTTCCACGACAGGCTCTGCAGACTGCCCGAGTATATAATTACTGATGAGTGCAAAAACCAGTTTGCTGCATGGCGTGTATAGTATAATCCCATTTTTGTAAAATATGTAATATGCCCACACACATGATTTCTCTGTTGACGTTGACATTGGAAAGAAGCCCTTTCGGGCCCGGGAGCATCGTGGATGTGGGGAAAGGCTAGAAGCTTGTGTACTAATGTCTCACTGTGGTCACACCTGCGGAGTAGGGGTGGGCAGGGGTGGTGTGGGGTTTTGGTTTTCCGCTGTGTCTGCAGTTTATTTTCCTTTGACTCTGTGTGGATTCCAGGTGGGCCAAGGCAAAGGCAAGCGATTCATGAGGTGGGGTCAGTTCAAGGCCAGCAGGTGGCAGTGAGGCAGGTGCACATGCAGGGGCCTGTGGTTCTGACACCCGTGACTCCTAGCCCACCCGCACTTGGGGCAGGCTATTTTATTTTTTATTTATTTATTTATTTATTTTTGCGGTACGCGGGCCTCTCACTGCTGTGGCCTCTCCCGTTGCGGAGCACAGGCTCCGGACGCGCAGGCTCCGCGGCCATGGCTCACGGGCCCAGCCGCTCCGCGGCATGTGGGATCTTCCCGGACCGGGGCACGAACCCGTGTCCCCTGCATCAGCAGGTGGACTCTCAACCACTGCGCCACCAGGGAAGCCCAGGGGGGCAGGCTATTTTAAACCAGGAGTGGTCTGGAGACCGCCTGATATGTGGCAGCTGTTGCGGTAGCGGGGAGTCAGGGATCAATGTCCTGCTCCTGCTTCTCAGATCCGTGTGCAGGCTTTGGGCCGTGGGCCATCTTGGTGACCTCTGCCAGCCCTGCGGATGCGATGGTCTGGTTCTCTTAAGACCCTCCCATCCACCGACCCAACAGCTTAGCAGACACAACAGCTTAGCAGAACAAGATCCCCACCCCTTCTGGGGGCTGTGGCCCCTTTTCTGACCTCCTTGGGCTGCTATGGGGGTGTCCCTCATCTTCAGGAGTCTAATCAAGGGCCCGCCTGCCCCTTCATTAGGCGGCTCGTGCAGGGTCCTAAGGTCCAGGCCGGCTGCAGGGTCTGTGCTGGATGGTGACAGCCAGGACCTGTAGTGCCCCTTACACCTCAGCCAGGGGTGAAGGTCATTTTTCTCTTAGGAGGGACTCTGAGATGCAGAAGTGGGGCAGATCGTATTTAGGAAGGGACAGAGGGACAGGTGGGGGGCAGGAAAGAGTCTCAGCTTTGCAGCCTCATCTAGATCAAGAGGGCTGTTCTGGTGCCAGGTGACCTGGGGGTCAGGTGAGCTGGGTTCCAGCCCCGCCCCTCTGCTCCCCTCTCTGGACCTCAGTTTCCTGTCTGAGGCCTGGGGCTGCCTGGAGCCTGTGCCTCCCTGGCAACGTGGCAGGGCGGTCCCTGCCCGGCAGCTCCCAGCTCCCGCCGGCACCCAGCCTCTGTGGGTGGTGGGGATTAGCTGTAGTGGTGGTGAAAGCACGCAATCAATTCACAGATAAAGTAAGTACTCTTCAGGCGGCTGGTTGGCAGGAAAGTGGCAGCTTGGCTAATCGATTAATTAGATCTGGTCAGATGCTTCAGCAACGGGCTGTGACTTCCTCTACTTTTCTTTTTTAAATTCCAGGTGGGAAAGTCCAACTGTGCCTGGGAGCCAGAGAGGCCAGAGAGGCAGGATGGGGTGGCAAAGGTGCCCGTGGGCCCACCCAGATGATGCCCTTGGTAGTGACCTGAGGATCCCCGGGCTGTCGGGTGCTGGGATTTCAGACTGAACCTGTTCTGGTATTTGCTCAGAATTTCATGACCCAGAGTTACACAGTGCCTCCCCCTGTGGCCTGCTAACTATAGTAGCTGATACTTATTGAGTGTTTGCTATGGGCTCCTTTCCTGCTGAGCAGTGAGCTCAGGGCTCACATGCATCTTAGTTAATCAATAGTCATTCACTTCCCACAAGGTTATTAAATCTCTAAGACCCCACAAGCTGGAGCATTGAGCAAGCCGGACCTGATCTCCGCCCCATAGAGCCTTTCCCACGGGGACGACATTCCCCTCCACCTCGTGTTTTTAGATAAGGAGGCCGAGGTCAGGGGACATAAGTAGATCACACAGCGAAACTGACCACCAAACAGTCAAGGTCCAACCCTAGTGTGCCCAAGCTCAAGTCCATCTCTCTATGGAATCTAAAGGTCTTTGATACCATGGGTGCTTCCAGCCCTGTCACTCACGTCAGCTATTTCCAGCCAGCAAGCACCTGGCTCTGGGGGAGGAGGATGGAGCAGATGGAGAAGCCCAGGCCCCTGGGGGTGAGGACCTGGTACAAATCAGGGGGTGAGAGGAAGAAGGAGAGCAAACCGCAGCCCCACAGGGCAGCGGTGCAGGGAGCAAAGTAGCTTCCAGCACCTGGAGGTCCCGGCCCACCACCGGCCTCCCCTCCCTTCAGGACCAGGCAAAACAGCTTTGCCAGTCCTGCTTACTCTGGGTCTGAGATAAAGAGAAGAGGGGGTCCCGCCCATTAAGTTGCTCCCATTCCTGGAAGGCTGGGAAGGGGCGGGAGCGATTTTCTCCTTCCACACACAGGGAAACTCAGGTGTGGACTGGGAGAGCGGCTGGCTTTAACTGGGCAAGTCCGGGGCGACACCGGATTTGAGGAGGAATGAGACGGTGCTTGGAGAAGAGACAAGGTCCCCACCTGCACCCCCAACACAGTGGTCAAGGGCAGCCAGGCCCACATCCAACCAGCTTCATACAGGAGAGCGTTTTACTCTATTTATTTATTTTTTAAATATTTATTTATTTTATTTTTGGCCGCGTCGGGTCTTAGTTGCGGCACGTGGGGTCCTTCGTTGCCGCATGCGGGATCTGGCATGCGGGATCTTCCGTTGCAGCGCGTGGGCTTCTCTCTAGTTGCGGCATGCAGACTTGGTTGCCCCACGGCATGTGGGATCTTAGTTCCCCAACCAGGGATCAAACCCCCGTCCCCTGCATTGGAAGGTGGATTCTTAACCACTGGACCGCCAGGGAAATCCTCAGGAGGGCATTTTAAAACAACGGGCTCCCCAGCCCCACTGCTAAGAGCTCTGGATCCCATAAGTTTGGGGCGAGGTCCAGAAGAGATTCTTTACAAATCTCCGC